TGAGAGCAAGATTGGAAAAAGCACAGGGACAAATAGCCAAATGAATGGAAACACATGAACTATGAACCAATAGCTGAGGAGCCCCCAACTGGATCAGGCCCTCTGAATAAGTGAGACAGTTGATTAGCTTGATCTGTTTGGGAGGCATCCAGGCAGTGGGACTGGGTCCTGTACTCAGTGCATGAGTTGGCTGTTTGAAACCTGGGGCTTATACAGGGACACTTGGCTCAGCCTGGCAGGAGGGGACTGGACCTCCCTGGACTGAATCTACCAGGTTGAACTCAATCCTCAGGGGAGTCTTGGCCCTGGAGGAGATGAGAATGGGGAGTGGTCTGGGGGGAAGGGGGGGCCGGGAAGCGGGGAGAGCAAGGGAATCTGTGGCCGATATGTAAAATTAAATTAAATTATAAAATAATTTTTAAAAAGATAAAAAAATGCAAAACAGTTAAAAGCAAAGAGAAGGCTTGTGGGCTGAGAGACTGGATGGTGGGTGGGATAAAGCCTGTTTACAGGAGAGCTGTGAGGAGCGAGCTCCCCCCACCCCAGATTGTCACACCTTTCACTTTCCACAAATGTCTGTGTCCAGAAAACAAATTCATTAAATCTTTTATTTGCATTTCTTGTCTCCAAAATAATTATGTTTGTATAGCTTCCTGGTAGCCAGCCAGAAATTTGTTTACTGTTGTTGAAGTGAAATGGCTTGTTGGGAAATGAAATCATTGAGGAAACGCTTTCACTGACTAATAATAGAAAGCCTAAAATTACCCGTATTTGTCATCAAATTGGCTTCCAAATACATGGGTACATGCTCTCTACTTCTAGCATGTCTCAGGCTCTTGTTCCAATATGGGTGCCAAACAGGCGATCAAGCACGGAGCCTGTGCAGGCCGAAGTCTGCAGGAGGCCTGCTGGTTCCGACGTCACAGTGGGAAGTCCAGCCATCTGGCACTTACTGTTCTAGCTTTGCTCCTGTCTGGGTCTTGATTGGTTGTTTTCTCCACCAAATAAAGAATTAGAAGACAGGGCTGAAGAAATGGCTCAGCAGGTATGAGCACTTGCTGCTCTTCCAAAGGTCCCAGGTTAAAGGACCCGGGTTTGGTCCCCAACACCTACACAGCCTCCAGTTCTGGGCCATTCAATGCTCTCTTCTGGCCTCCAAGGGCACCAGGCAGTGTTTTTAGTGGCATGGGATGGGTTCCCTTCCCTAATTTTGGGTTAGTCAGCTTAAACAAAGAAAGGAGATTTGAAAGGCCCACAGCTTCAGGTAAATATGTGTTTATAGTTGGATAAGACAGAACCCCTTCCCTAATTTTGGGTTGGTCAACTTAGAGAAAGAAAGGGGGGCTGATACATTTACAGCTTTGAGTCAACATGTTTAGTTCTAGCCTTGAACATACCTGACCAGTCTGAAATGGTCAGCAGGAAACCCAGCTCTGCTGGAGGAGGAAAAAGTCTGCCAGGCCAATGAATCAGGTCATGATGGTGAGGAAGAAGCCAGAAACTTGCTATCTTAGTTATCCCTCTATGGCCTCTTTTCCTGTCTGTCAGGGGTCTGTTTAGCTCCTAGCCCCTCAGTATGATTTCTGTCACTGTGGTAAAACATTCTGACTGAAAGCAACTTGGAGGAATGTGTTTATTTCAGCTTACAGGTTACAGTCCACCACTGAGGGAAATCATGGCAGGAACTCAAGCAGGAGCCATGGAGGAAGGCTGCTTGCTAGATCCTCATAGGCTCGTGCTTAGCCAGTTTTCTTATACGGTCCAGGACCACCTTCCCAGGAAATGGTGCCACCCACAACAGGCTGGGCCCTCCCACATCAGTTAACAATCAAGACAACTCCCCACAGACATGCCCACAGGTCAGTCTGATCCAGGCAATCCCTTAATTGAGGGCCACTCCCTTTTTTGTTGTTTTGAAACAAGGTCTTTCTACATAACCCTGGCTGTCCTGGAACTCATTGTATAGACCAGGATGGCCTCAAACTCACAGAGATCCTCCTGCTTCTGCCTCCCAAGTGCTGGGATTAAAGTTGTGCACCACCATGCCCAGCTGAGACTCCCTTTTTATACAACACTAGGATATACCAAGTTGACAATTCAAACTAACATAGGGCACTTATTTAGTGGGTATTAAGTGGGTATTAAGAAGGTCAGAAGGTTGGTGATCTGTCAGTTATTACTAAAAACTTGTACTATTCTTGCATTCAGATTTCTGAGGAAGAGAGCTCATGTCTTCATAAGCAGGAATATAATAATGAAAGCTGGGCAGAGGAGGCAGTGTAGCAGTTAAGAGTGCTCACTGCTCTTCCAGAGGACTTGAGTTCAGTTTCCAGTGCCCACACCAGGCAGCTCACAATTGCTTATAACTTCAGCTCCAGGGAATATGACGCCCTCTTCTGGCTTCCTTAGGCACATGCACTCACATTCACATACTCATACATAGAGATGCAGACATATGCATAATTAAAAAAAAAATAAAACAAATCTTGATCCTGGCAGTGGTGGCTCACGCCTTTAATCCCAGCACTCGGGAGGCAGAGCCAGGTGGATCTCTGTGAGTTAAAGGCCAGCTTGGGCTACAGAGTGAGTTCCAGGACAGGCACCAAAACTACCCAGAGAAACCCTGTCTCGAAAAAACAAAACAAAATCTTAAAAAAAAAGGAAGATATGGTTTGCTTCCTTTTTCCCAGCCCCTAATAACTCAATGAAATGTAGAACATTCATCTAGTAATGTAGTTCAGTGTGTTTGCCTGAACAAGACCCCAGAGTCAATACCTAGAAACACACACACACACACACACACACACACACACACACACACACA